AGTTCATAGGTGATATTTAAAGAGGTGTCAGAAGGAGCTCTCCAAAGGACTGAGTGTAGATGAAGAAGAGGTCGGAGGACTAAGCCTTGGAGCATTCTGTTTGAGTAGGAACCAGAAAAGGAGAACGAGAAGGAATGGCTAGTGAGGCAGAAGGAAAGCTAGATTTCCTGAACGAAGAACATGTTTCGAGGAGGAGAGGGAGGCAGTAATCAACTTATCAAATGCTGCTCACAGGTGAAGTAAGAGGATGACTGAGAATTAACAAGCAGATTTAGTAACCCTGAAATTACTGGTATGTTGCAAACGATACTGGTGGTGTGGCAGCGGCAAAAGCCTGATTAGAGTGGATTTAAGAGGAATGCATTTAAGCTGTTCCCAGCTAGGCTACCAGAGGAATTTACTTTCAACAATAATCCTTCTACTTAGCAGAAGGCCAAAATTGGGTTTCAGCTCACTTTCCGTGAAAGTTACCTCAACTGATCATACTCATTACTTTCAAATAAAAAATTTGATGGCAGTATCAGTCCTTGGTCTTCTGACACTCATTTTTCCAGAAATAATTCTACAAGAGCTCACTTCAGCTCTCAGCACCTAGAGTGAGTACATGCCCTCAATTTTCTAAAGGCTCTAATTTAATATGATTTTGCTCTGTTAAGGATTTGATATATGTGCAATTAAACATGATTTAATTTTATGCCACTGTAAGAGTTTTTATACTAAATTTTTTTCTCAAATCAAAAAAAAAATTCATTTTCAGCCAGGGGCTGGAAGAGGGGAAAAGGAGAGTTTTGTTCAGTGGGTACAGCATTTCAATTTTGCAAGACAAAAAAGTTCTAGGGATTTGCTGCACAACAACAGGCCCATAGTTCTTGCCTAAACTTCTGCAGTAACATATTTCCTAACTAATCTTGACTTCAATTTCTTTTCTCTACAACTATTCTCCATACTACACCCATAATTATCTCTTCAAAATATAAATTTGATTATATTGTTCTCCATGGCCATGAGGGTGAAATCCAACTCCTTAGTATGGCATATAAGGCTTCTAAGAGTCTGGCCCTAGAAAGCCCAGAAATAAATCCTCATATATGTGATCAATAGATTTTTTTACAAGGATGTTAAGACCATTCAATGGGGGAAGAAAAGTCTCTTGAACAAATGCTGTTGAAATAACTGGATAACCACATGCAAAAGACTGAAGCTGGACCCTTACCTAGCACTACAAAAAAAATTAACTCAAATGGATCAAAAACCTATATTCAATAGCTAAAACTGTAAAACTCTTAGAAGAAAACGTAAGGGGAACTCTTTGTAACCTTCTATTTGGTAATGGTTTCTTAAATATGACATAAAAAGTACTGGCAACAAAAGGAAAAATTAAAAAATTGGATTTTATCAAAATTCAAAACTTTTATGCATCAAAGGACACTATTAACAGAGTGAAAAGACAACCGATGGAGAGAAAATACTTGTGAATCATAGATCTGATAAGGATTTAATATCTAGACTACATATAGAACTATAACTCAACCAAAAACAATCTACTTCAAAAATGAGCAAAGGACTTGAATAGACATTTCTCCAAAGATAAAAATGGCCAAGAAGCACAGGAAAAATATTTAACATCATTAGTCATCAGAGAAATGCAAATCAAAACCACAATGGGATACCATGAAGAAAGCTATTATTAAAATTTTTTAAAAAAGGAATATAACATGTGTTGACAAGGATATGGAGAAACTAGAATCTACACTGTGCATTGCTGATGGGAAATGGTGCAGGCACTATGGAAAACACTTTGGTAGTTTCTCAAAAACTTAAACATAGAATTACCAAGTGACCAGCATTTCCACTTCTAGGTATATACTCCAAAGAACAGAAAACAGAAATTCAGAGACTTTCATACCAATGGTCAAAGGAGTATTATTCACAATAACTAAAAGGTGGAAACAACTCAAGTCTTCATCAACAGAAGAATGGACAAACAGAATGTAGTATATACATATAAGAGAATATTACTCAGTCATAAAGAGGAATGAAGTTCTGACACATGCTACAACATGGATAAACCTTGAAAACATTATGCCAAGTGAAATAAGCCATAGACAAAGGACAAATGTGGTATGATTCCACTTATATGAAGTATCCAGTATAGACAAATTCAGAGACAAAAAGTAGAATATAGGTTACCAGGGCCTGGGAGAGGGGGACAATTATTGCTTAATGGGTACAGAGTTTTTGTTTGGGATGGTGTCAAAGTTCTAGAAATAGTGTGGTGGCTGCACAACATTGTGAATGTACTCAGTGCCCCTAAATTGCAAACTTAAAAATGGTTAAAATAGTAAATGTTATATTATATATATTTTACCACAATAAAAAAATAATAAAGAGTCTGGCCCTAAATAGCTTTATCTGCAGCCATAAATTCCCTTTGTTCTCACCAACATGTACCTTGCATTCCACTCTCCTATTGAACTGCTTGACTTGTGAAGGTACAACATACCTTCAAGCTTTCTTGGCTTCATTTGAGTTCATTCTGTCCTTACCTCTAAGTTTGGTAAATTATTCTTTATCCATTAAGATTCATTGAAGATGATCTCCTGAAGCAGTTAATCAATTGTTCCTTTATACATTCAAACCCCTTTGTGAACAGTTCTACTGTGGCATTTAATCATGCGCCATGCATTATTTCCTTATGGGTGTCTCCCCCATAAGATCAAGTTCCATGAAGACAAGTATTGAATCTTATCTTTCTATCCCTAGTGCCTAGCACATGATAGATACTCAACTTTCCCAAATAAATGACTTAGTATATAATGTGCTTTGAAAAATCATAAAGCACTATATCAGGAAAAACATTTACTTTATTTTACCACCTGTGAATTTATTTTAAGTTAGTTTCAGTTTATGAAACAAGTCCCTGATGATATGCAGTATATAAGAAAACTCAGTTTTTTTCATTATGCTCCCATTAACTAATCCTAAGATTTTCTTTTCATATAAATGCTAAATTGAACCAGAAAAAATATTTTTAAGTTTCTAAATGAACAAAATACTAATCTAGATGTACTATCAAAGAAAAGATACATTTTATGTATGTCAGAACGATAATGAGTTGACAACGAGTGGCTTTACATTAGAATATTTTGATCACGTCTTCCAGAAAAGTAGTGCAATCAGATACATGGATAGTATCTGTGGAAGCCCCGGCACATATTTATGCACGCTTTAATCAAGAACCAGTGCAAATTGCTGAATCAATCGTCAAATATTTACTGAGTCCACACATAGGGCATAGTACCAAAAATCTGTGTTTACAAAATTTAGACCAGATTTTTATAGTCAAGAAATTCCCAATATAAAGTTGGAAGACATGAAAAAATAGATACAATATAAATGTACAGACATGGTTATTCACTCAACAGTTATTTATTAACTGCGTATGAGCCAGGTACTTAAAACATACGCAGATTAAGAAATATGGACTCTGCCTCAAGAATCTTAACATTTACTAAGTAATGTTATGCCAGGAACTGTGGGAATACAAAGATGAACAAAACATACAGCCCTATCTGGCTCACAATCTAGTTATGGAGAGATAATTATAAGCAAATAATTCTAGCAATTAACACTAATGACTCTTCAAAACTCTTTTCCCTTGGTCTACATGCCACCACAGTATCCAGCTTTTCTTCCTCTCTCTCTAGCCACTCCTTTCAGTCATTTAAACCTGCTCCTCCTCTACTATACCCTTATATGCTGCAAGGCTCTGTCTTACACATTTATCATTTCACTTTATAACCTAGGTCATTCCTAGACTTCAACAACCATAAGAGACTTAAATCTGTTCCTAGCTTGCCCTTTCTACTGAGTTCCAGAAGTGTATTCCCAACTGCCTACTAGATATTTCATAGATTCCTCAAACCTGACTTACCTAAAATTGCACTATTCTCACACCAACTTCTAGCACCACTATCAACTGGGTTACACAAAGCAGTATCAAGGGATTCAGCTTTGCCTCCCCATCTCACATTAAACGTATCACAAAATCCTGATAATTCTATTTCTTTCCATTTCTGTGACTTAATGACCCAGTGTTTCTCCATTAAGGTGCAACTGGCATTTGAAGCAGGACAGTTCTTCATTGTTGGGACCCTCTTCTGCAATACAAAACATCTAGCATTCCTGGCTCCATGCATTAACACTCCCCAGTCATCAGGACTAACAAAAGCGTCTCCTGAGGCTGGTATTGCCTAGGTTAAGAATTATATGGTGCTTAGCTGAAGACTCCATTATCTCTCACCTGTACTACTAAAAGGTATTTTTAAATAAAAACCTTTTAATCATCTTCCCTACAACTACTTTTTCTCTCCTCCAATCAATTCTCTATTCTGTAGTCTCTGTCAGTTATAAAATTCTGGTTTTTGAAGTGAAAAAAAAAAGTGAATGAAGGGCTGCAAATGGTAAAGTATTCTTTTTTATCAGTGAGTTGTATTCCATTACATATATGTATGCTGCTTCTTCATTATCTGCTCATCTATTGATGTGCACTTAGGATGCTTCCATATCTTGGCAATTATAAATAATGTTGCTGTTAATAGCAAGGTGTATGTATATTTTTGAATTAATTTTTATTTTGTGGTTGGCATTATTCTTTTGATAACTATGTTAAGTTTAAAAAGCTAACACTGTAAACGTTCTTGGAAACAATGAACAGTACATGTATGTAAATTTAAAAATATGTGCACAGTAAAAACAAAATGAGCCATGAAAGACATGAAAAGAAACTTACAAGACATACTACTAATTAAAGAAGCCAGTCTGAAAAGGCTACAAACTATACTATTCCAACCAAATGACATTCTGGAAAAGGCACAGCTTTAGAAACAATAAAAAGATCATGGTTTCCAGGGGTTTGGGGAGAGGGAGGGAGGGAGGGATGAACAGATGGAACACAAGGGATTTTTAGAGCAATGAAATTATTCTGTATGATACTATAGTGGTGGCTACATGTCATTATGCATTTGTCAAAGCCCATATAATGTACAACATTAAGAGTGAACCCTAATGTAAACTATAGAATTTGGTTAATAATAATGTGTCCATGTTGGTTTGTTGATTGTACCAAATATGCCACACTGATGAGAGATGTTGAGGGTAGGGGAGTATACTTGTGTGAGTGGGGAGGGCTATGTGGGAATTCTGTATTTTCTGTTCAATTCTGCTGTAAACCTGAAACTGCTACTAAAAAATAAGTCTATTCTAAAAAAA